TGTATTGTTATTTGCTATATCTTGTGTTTTTAGATAAGATTACATAACCCTGTGTCCAATTCTCTCCAGTCTGATTTGAGGGATGTTGACACAGGATAACTTTGTTTTATCTCAAAATAAAAAAAAACAATCTAATTTTATGAAAATATTTTTTTTTTCGGTTTTAAATTGCAGGATAAAATCAATAAGATACGATAACGTACTGTCTCTCACCGGATGGGGAAAAAGCGGACAATAAGGATAAATTGTCGTATACAATTGTTTAATTCCTGTTATTGAAAACCGACCAATAAAAGTTCAGTTCGTTATTACACATGTAACTATCCTGTATTAGTCTTTGATTTAAAAAAAAAAACGTTGTGACATGGACAATTATCTAAGGAATGACTGTAATATTTTTTTCTGTCTATGAAGAAATAACATAAAAATGTGTTGCACATTGAATAATCCAATTGAAGTAAATCATGAAAAAACGTTGATGACGTCACGGTCAAATGACAAAATTATGTCTATGAACTGATAGACAAACAACTTTCAGCCAATCAGTAGTCGTGTTACATCTAAAATTAAATTATTTGAAAATAATTTGAGACATTCATTCAAATATGTCCCGTTCTCTCATAACATGCATGCGAGTACTCTGAGATCGGTACTCTGCGCCTTTAGATTTAACGTTAGTTTTATATTGTGCTTCATGCCAATCTTATGGTTAAATTCCTTTCCAACTGTTAACATAATTAAGCATAAATCAAGAGTGCTTAGCGCAGAAGCAGCAAATACCAATTTTAAAGTTTTCGGTTTAACTCGGTCGGAATTCGAACCAATTAAAGACCTCCCACACTAGAAACGAATTCGCTACCACGAGACCACTGAGGCGGTTAATTGACTTGGAGATGAAGAACCAGCTACGAATATCCATTCTATTTCTTTGTGTCTTATATTTTTAGAGATTTTTTTTATGAATTAATATGTCATGATAATCACCTCTTTTACGATTTGTAATTATGAAACAAACATATGATAGGATTCCAATGTACGTAAAAAGTGTTCTTAAAAAGCAACTTTCCTGCAGAAAATGTATGTATAAGCAGACAAGCTCGGCAGATACAAAAAAAAAATGAGGCTGTTTAATTTAATTATAAAGCATCCAAGCATCGAAAGTTTGATTTTGACAAAGATGATCCTCGGATTTTTGGAACGTGAATTTTCGATTTACACAGCAGTATTACAAAATTTGTAAAAGTATTTTCCAAAAGTCTGTAGTGTAACCCTCGGAACACGGTTAGTTTGAAGCATGAAATAAATCCATGATGTATAATGAGTACTTTAGGTGAGATGAAGTCGAGGTATCAATGAACTTCTATACCTGAAACAATTTATTCATTAGAGAGAGTAGATACAAACATTTAAAAAAAAATAGCGGTATAGCCCGAGTCTAACCAAAGAGATCCGAATAAAAACCTTGAGTGGTCTAACTAATAAGTTTTCGATTTAAACTATTATATTTCGTATTTTCACTTCAAAATCACGAATTCGGGACGCTCAGAAAGGGGAGGCGTCTCACCTTCGAAACTGTTCTCTATTAGGGCCCACTGTTTGTAGTATAACTTATAAAAATGTAATTGGAGCCCCCAAAAAAATGATTATGATTAGGGGATAAAAACAAAAACTCCATATTTTCCCCCAAATAATCGCCCAATAGTATACAAACAAAAATTGCATGCAGATTTATGATACTAAGAATATAAGCACTTTAGACAGATAAAACTTTTTATATTCATGTATTTAATGTACTGGATTTCTTGCAGAATGTGGCATTGTGCATTTCTTTTCCTTGCGTTCTATTTATCTGTTTTTATCTTTGAGCTTTTTCTGTCTTGTTTGCTGTTTGGGATATTTTTTTTGCTGCCATGGCAATTAATGTGCGACACCTTCCTTTGTTTTCTTTTACTAAAGCTATATTACGTATGTGTTTCTTGTGATGATTCATAATATGTGTATTGGATACGTAAGGAGAGAGCCTTTATATAAGTTGTAATAACTTGTGTCCAATCCTACCGCTAGATTATTTCAATAACATATTATTCATTATAACTAAATCATTTGTTTGAAATTCGTTAGCATGTATAGTTGTTGAATATAACATGTATTAATGAAACGTAAAAATTATTCAATCATGATTAATCCGAACAATTCATCACTTAGCCTAAAGGAAATAGAGAAAACACTTATATAGATACACAATTGTAGCAATATTAAACCTATAATCAGTAGTTATGTCTCATCCAAATACACTTACATGTAATTGTATTCTTCCGTGTCACGTGAAAATTGTGACAAGAAGATTTATGTAGTTTATATTAATAATGTTTTTGATCGTGTTTACATTTTTGTTTTTAACCGGGGAATCGTACGGTAAGTTATAATACATAAGAGTTTTGCTCGTTTTCATTTGCTCTCTGGTAGAGAGTTGTCTCGTTTGCAATCATACCACATCTTCTTATTTTTTATAAGGATAGAAAAAATACAAGTTATACTTTGCGGTTTTATTATACATTTACTTAAATTAAAATTACATGTTTCTTTAATAATTATTTTATGTTTTGTATATCTACAAATAAATGAATGTGTAAGAATTTCTTTCCTTTGTTTACACTTTGATAGACGGTGTTGCCGGAATTCTGTCCTATCCATGTAAAATGTAAACAGTGTCAATAGTCATGTCCTATCACATGAATGGAATCCTTGGGGCTCAGCTACATGAAACTATTTAGTTAAGATTTGTTACGAACGGACAGATTTTTCTACATGTCCTACGATGAAATTAGTGCTACGAATGGATATTTTAACTTAAGTATTTTTATGCATATCAGCCGTTGTTTTCGAGGAAAGGGGATATTTAAAGAAAAAGAAAATAACAAACATATTGGATGAGAAATATAAGGATTAAACACATGTTTTTAGAGGTTAAGGTTATAATGGTGTAAAAAAAGGTCGCCGACACACACACACTTTACATAAATGTCCTTCGAACATGTATTCAATCTCACCAATTAACACATCAATAAACCGACAAAAAATGTGTTTAAACCTTTAAAATACAATGTTCCGCTGTGTTTTTCGTGACCTCCTGTTCTATGTCGCAATCAGCTCTTTTGTAAAACGAAAAGAAAGTGTGCATTCTTCTAAACGATTAAATTATATAAAAGTATATTACAACTTATTTAAATGTTGATTGTTTTGAATATATGTCCAATATAAAGAATTTATATAAAAACAAGTTTTGATTCAAATATAGTAACCATTTTATGAGTTTCGCAGAAAAAGCGCACCACGTACGTTAATGAAAAAAAAAATTATAAGTTCAACTGAATTTCCACATTCGCAAGTATTTAAAGTTTTAAATAATAAAGTACTTTTTTATGTACAAGTTAAAGTTCAATCACGAATCAATATTGAACTTACTAAGCATGCATGATGTGTAACAGACAAATGTCAATCACGAGTATACCATCGTTCCTACTGAAAATTAGGTTAAACTGTTTATCAAAATAGATAGTAGAGGTATAAATAACTTGTAATAATTCAAATCTGAATTAGAAATGTGAGTTCAAAGCTGTTTCTTTTTTGGCTGCTTACACTTTTGATTCGGAGCAATTCTTATTTTGCCACCACTTGGCACTATATATATAACTCCGTTTATGCAGTTTTGCATTTATCTATCATTTTTTCATTGCAAGTTTACAATGAAATACAACAGCGACAGCTAGAATTTAATTAAGAAAAATATTTCAAATTCTACAGGTGCTATGATAATTCAAGTTTAGCGTTGAATATAATTGCTAGCTATATTTGAGGAAGTGGCTGCAACAAAATCAACTACCAAAAACAGAATATACAGGATAAACTGTTGTAGAACAAAAGTGGGGAGAACAATGGGTTTAAGGATGATTGCTTATCATGTTATTGACCTTTTGTCAAATATTCGGAATCCTTTTGTTTTATCCATGTGGTGCCATTAAACATTTGCCTGTTAACCCCTCCTTCTTTTCTCATAATTTCATTAAGTATATATAGAGTTTAAAAACCATTTTCCAAAAATCTTATAAAATTCCTTTTTTCAAAGTTTTTGAAAGAAAAAAGGGGCCTATGTATAATGTTTGAAAATCAAGAGAGATTCGTTTTCCGCCAAATTTTGAATGGCTTATATTTAAAAAAAAACAAGGACACGAACCTTGCATTTCTTTGTGCTATTTTAGTTCTGTTATATTTTTACTATCAACTTTTAACAGTGATTTTAAGAGCTTGTTATTTTGAAACAGAGTAGCCAACATCGTTAAATTGTTTAAATAGCATAAAATCTACAACTAATTTGACAGTTATTGGTGATTTTATACAGTTCAAAATTTTAGAACAAAATTTCATCAAAGATAACAGGCTTATAATTTGGTACCCCAGACGCGCGTTTTGTCTAAATTAGAGTCATTAGTGGCCAAATAAAATACGAAGTGGCAGAGCATTTAATACTGAAAATTCTGAAAAGTTTTTGCAAAATCTATGCCTTAGAGTAAAACCTAAGTGTTGGCAAAATACAATAAAGACAATACGCGATCACAATGCCAAGTAAAGATGAATAAACACGTAATCTTGAACATTTCCAATATCTTTATAAAACAAAATCCATTCCAGAAAATACTTATTATTTGGGTGTTTAACTTTTTTGATTCGAGCTTTTTTGTGGACAAAACGTAACTCTTTATATGAGTTTAGTGTAGATAGTCTGACATTACACACACAAATAATGTTTGTAAAAAAGCATACACAATGAGAAGTGGGCATACAAGATTTAGATTTTTCTATTCTGATCAACAAGTGCCTAACTATTGCACCGAAGATCAAATTTTGGTCGAGGAAAAGGTGGAAATAGTTATCATAATGCGATATTCTGGTACATTCATTGTTTTTTTTTATTTAAATTAAATCCATTGATTTTTCTTCAGGAATAGAGTGTTTACGTTGTACAGACGCTGTCCTGAACGGTTCTTCTATCCCGTCTGCAGTAAAATTCTTGCTGTCTACATTTGAATCGACTTACAGAACACCAGAATGTGAAAATGCTCAAACTGCTCAGGCGGCTTCAGATGTTACATTGAATACGTGCACGGACGCCCCTGGTCCAGGACAAGTTAATAGATGTGGAAGACTGATTGGGACACTGAAGGTGTCGATAGACCCCCCATTTTTCGATAAAATAGGTATGCCACATAGAATTTGAATATACCTGCTAGATCTCCTTCTTTGTATTCAGATTTAAATAGCCATACGAGTAGAGCCAAGTCATGACATAAGGAGAATGTGAACACAGGAAATATAACCAGTTTGTTGGCTTGTTTTACTGTTCTACTAATCCTACAGGTTAGGGAAGAATTGATTTTTTACAACCCGCCTCATTTCAATCCATACACTAGAAGTATAGTAATCGATATTAAGGTGTAGGACGGCATAAATTTTTGTGATTGTGTTCGATAAATGCGATCATTCTTTAATTCAAAGTTACGATATGTATTTATTTTGTGTTAAGGTTGGCTATTTTACCTCTTATTTAAAGTACTTTTCCTGTAGTGGTCTTTTTTTTATTAATCATGTGATGAAGCGAGACATAGCAATCAAAATTTCATACATAAATAGAACTAAACGAATTATGGAAAGAAAGACAGTATCTACAGCACCATTTGCTATAAAATGGACTTCGTTATTTACAGATACAGCCTGTCCCGGCTAAAGAAATCGTATCCCACTTCTGTTATTCAAACTATAAATATATTCAATGCGTGATTGTTTAAGTGTTTTCGTTACCTTTAATCCATAATAAAGACCTTTTGGTCGATTTTGTTCTTGAAAATGAAAACGACACATTATATATAGCGCTTTCCTGGATTGTCCTTCGTAAGTAACGCCCAAAGCCGAATGAATATTAGAATATTTTCGAACGCTTCAATTGTTTTATGTTTTAGTCTTCGATGTTTTTTACCATCTACTGCAAATGGCTGTGCCTTGAATGATTTCTAATTGTTATGTTGATTTCATTTTTTTTCTTTTATTTGCATTTCATGGGGAAAGGGGGTTATTTCAGTTTGGAATTTGGTTTTTTTGAAAAATTTTCACATTGACTAAAATACCAAGAAACTTTTTGTTTATGTGATGAACAAACCCACAGCCGACTACCGTCATTATTGATTTACGAATAAAAAGCATATTTATAATTCATTTAAATATCAAACAAAAAGTGGGAAAATAAACAAATATTTCAGTCACAATGTAAAAGAAAAAACATATCGAAATTAGTTGATAAGTCAAGATTTTTATTCCCGACATTTGATCAAGTAGGTACTATCCGGATTTATTGTGATTTAATGAAAAAAAAACACACTTCATCATTCAATATTTAATTTAAATTGTAGAATTGCCTATTCATTTCCACATCAGAGGATGTTTCAGTCATTAGGTGGAGGGTGTTATCGAGACAAACGAATTATTGATCAGCAGAGAGGTGTTTTGTCTAATGTCCTGAAAGGAATATCTTCCTTGCAACTTGGGGAATTCAATGGTGTGCTCTGCATAAATGGAGCTAACAACTTGGATGCATGGAGACTTAATAGGACAATCAGACATGCTTATTCCTCGTCAATTTTATTTCTCTGTGCTATTGCTTCAATAATTTTCCTAAACAAAACATATTAAGCATAATTTATACAAGTGCATACATATCATGTTTAAAAAAAATTGATTGGAAAATTCCTACATTTCTTTCTCTTGTCTTCTATGAGGGTTATGTACGACAATTTTGATGACTCCAGTTTTTATTATATGCATTTTTATTTATTTATTTTGTAATTATCTTTATATGTGTCTATAAGTGTTGAACTTTCTTGATTAATTTTTAACGAAAACATGTTTTAAGCCCAGCGTGTTATTAGACCCCATTTATGTTTAAATTACTATAGAATAAGCAGATCTGATATGATTGTCAATGATACAACTATACATCTTGTAACTAAACGATGGATGAATTTTACCTTTACGTATCGAGCGAGGATTCTCTTTCGCTTTTTGAAAATAACAACGGTGGCGCATTTAGGATTCAACTTTACAAAAGCTATACATTGGACGGAGAATGGGAAAGTGCACTGCTCGAGTAATCGTTTGTTCCAGAATTTCCAATACCAACGAGACGGATCTTCTTTTGCTCGGACTTTGTAATCGACACGTACGCCCGGGAAATGTCTCTGCCAATACTTCAATTGGTAGGGGGTTTGAACGAAGATATCGCGGACATCGTATATGAAAAACCAATTTACTTCGGTGTCACCAGAAACGAATTGTACCAAATCTAAATCGTCTTACGGGACGATAATCTCAAGGTATGTCGCCCGAAGGATGACCACCTGTTTTGCTTGCTGCATTTTCGAAAGAAACATATAAGAGGAGATTGTATACACATGCAGAAAAGGTGAAGATGTTCAGTTACAACCTTTGTCGAAGCGTATATGTTTGGCCACATGATCTCAGACGACATGAAAAACAAACACAGCAGCAGTAGCAACAGCAGCAGCAACAGCAGCAGCAACAACAGCAGAAACGGCAGCAGCAGCAGCAACAGCAGCAGAAGTTCCCACTTTGAAAGGAGAATATTGAATTTCCTCATCAGCAGTAGTTCCTTCCTCCGAGAGAGGAATACGAATTTCCTGGGTGGCAGCAGCAGCAACAGGACCTTCCCCTGTATCTATACATCAGACCTACAGACGTGTAATTCAACAAAGCAGTCAATATATGTTCGAATATCATGACCTGTATATTTTTTTATTAAACATAAGATCAAACCTTATTTCAATCTTTATTTTGTCATTATGAAACCACAAATCAACTTTTTCGCTCGCTGACAGAAAAAAAATACCAAAGGTGAGGAAAAGTATTTTGCATGTCTCTTTATCCTATGTTAATTCATTCTCTGGTCCTAATGTCGATTGGTAAAAGCCAAATAATTGACACTCCCGACACATGTTCCACTGATCTATGTGAATATGTGTCTGAATCTATCACAGTGGCTTTTATGTTGTTTATACACACACGAAATAAATGGAAAAAATCATAATATGAGCAAAAGTTTTATTTTGATAAATATTACATCAAAGCTGATCGATTGTGTACCAAAATATCAAAATGAAAATAACGCAATAAGTTTTCTGTCGTTGGCATACAGGTCATCCGATGAAAAGTCATTCAATACATCTTTCATCTTGATACTCTGACATCTCATTTTCACGTAATAGGCGCAGTACAGTCCACATGTTTCCGAAAAGTCGGGTTGAATTGGACATCGAGAAAAACGGTACTGGGGTCCGTTAACGATGAGAACATTTGTAAAATGTTGCTTGTATGTCTCTGGTGCATCTCCTAGGTAGTCAAAAACCCAGGCAGTCCCGATAAAGGAAATTGAAATGCCACTTAATGAATTCCTTCCTGGTTACAGTTGTCCGTGTTGACCACGAAGGATTTAGGTCTGTCACTCACATAGGCTGATAAGTCGTCTGCACAGCAAACGGTGGTCGACGTTCCGCTCAAAATTCCCTCTAGTGCCTCGCCAGACATTGGAAGGCGAATCGATGTCGTTCGACAATTATGGTTTTCTAAAGCCCAATAGTGTGCAAAGACCAGTTTGCAATCTCGACAAGCTATTAGATCCTCTCTGTCATCCATTATATCTGACGTTGTGCTTTCAGTGTCGGAACTATCATGGTCCTCCATTTCTTCAGATGTGTCGACTCCTTTGCCTGTCTGCAAGACATCAGTTCGCAGTCTTGACGAATCTGAACTATCGTTGCCCTCCAATTCTTCAGAGGCGTCGACTCCATTGGCCGTCTGCAAGACATCAGTTCGCAGTCTTGACGATTCTGCCATTCCGGGTTTCAGATCAACCAGGAGGAATCCGCAGGGTCTGTTTGTCGCCTCTTCAAATTTCCGTAGAAAGAAGTCCGATTTAGACGGATACATCTGTCGTTCTAGGGTCCTTTCCAAAGTACAAGTTTTGACTTTAAACCACTCCCGACAAATTTCTGTGATGACTGCCTTCCATAAATAGATCGTTGATTTTTGAATCTTTAGCCGATGTGGACTTCAGATCATCCAAAATGATCATATTTTTCTTGTTGGGATCGAAAAAGTCGTCGCTTCCTAAATCGACCGGGATACCGCGGAAAAATTCAACTTTTGGAAGCACTGTTTTCTGTATTTCTTAATAGAGTAGCTGCCATCTCTTGTACAACCACACAATTCGTTCTGGGCACGGATGGCACATCTTCCGTACTCGTTGTAGCATGATTTTCATAAAATACGTCTTTCCGCACGAATTTAGTCCAGATACCATCATGGTAAACGGGTGATTAAAAACAAAATCTCGGTGCTGAGAAAATTCGTCCCCTTCTTTCAGACGACGGTACTGATGCTGCTGCTGAGGAAATTCAATATTCTCCTTTAAAGGAGGGAACTTCAGCTGCTGTTGCTGCTGCTGCTGTTGTTGTTGTTGTTGTTGTTGCTGCTGCTGCTGTTGTGCATGGTTGTTTTTCATATGTCTTTTAAGATCATGTGGCCAAACATATACGCTTCGGCATAGGTTGTAACTGAACATCTTCACCTTTTCTGCATGTGTATACAATCTCCTCTTATAGGTTTCTTTATGCATCTTTATTATCCCACCATTCGAAATATTTTAAAAACTGAAAACAAGAAAATAGGGATATGCTCAGAAGAAGAGTAGAGCTAGTAACTCCAATAAACGGCCATGTAAAGGTGTATCTTATAATATTTCTTTTAGATAAATCTTATGTGTATATATATTTTAATGTATTATTGTTGAAAGTAGGATAAGAGTTGTTGTATATCTGCTTCATATTTATAAATACATTAGCCAGAAATAGCAATGATTTCATTTAGTCCATTTTGTAGAAATGTGTCACGTTTTTCGACCTTTTTTCATGATTTTATATGTGGCACCAACCCTCGTCCATTGAAATTTTGGTTGATGATCAAGGAATATTGTAAAAAGAGACTATTTCAGCAAAAATGTGGCGCCAACCCTCGCCCATTGAAATTTTGGTTCAAAGGTTAAAACTATGGTATGCATAGAATATTTCAGCAAAAACATTTGTAGGCTATTTTTTTTCTTCAGAAAACTGTCACAAATTTTGCCAAATTAGGCAAACATTCAGGTTTAAAGAACGTCACCTAGATTTATGACGTCACAAATACATCACGAATGACACCATTAATAAATTTTTTAATGAATTATAATATATGTTTTAATCAAATTATGATAACATTATAGCAGTTAAACAATTTTAGATTTTAAGGGCCAAAATTATGCGATGTTAAACCAACATCTTTACCGACGTTTGCTTTGATTATTTGTATTTATAAATCATAAAAGGAGAAGATACGTTAAGGGCTAATTTATGCCTAAAATTTGAAGTACATCTGATGAAAGATTTTTGACATTTTTTAAACACTTAAGTGTCTACTTCAGTCGATTCAATTAGTTTATGTAAATGATTTGAACTGAATTTGTCATTATAGACGGCCAGGTTCAAGCTCCATTATGGAAATCTATCAAATATGCCATAAAACGTCGCTTTTCAGATGTGTTTTGTCTAAACTGTAATTGGCCGCATTCGTGTTCAGTCTCAACCTTTATATATATTATGTATTTTCCTCAAATACAATATATATTTAAATATTAAGAATGAACATAAATGCGGCCACTTCCATGTCAGACAAAAACCGTCTTAAAATTAGCACAAATGTGAAAATTTCAGTAATTTTGCATGAGTTTATGATGCTTGTACCTGATACGTGTACATTGTATTATATAATAAGCCCATATTTATGTAAAAAAAGTATTTTACTTACAGACAAATAGCTAAAAGTTTACATTTCAACAAATTTGTAAGAATGCTATATTTTGGGGCCAAAAAGGGGTCTTACTTGGCCTACTCCTTTATTGATAATAAAAATATGTTAACCATCATGCAGAACTTTGAAAAAAAATGGTGTTTTCATTACTCCTCGACTAAAACTGTTTAGATGCGAATCCCACAGACGAGTCGTTGTAGCCAAAATGAGCCAAAAGTATAACCTGGTATTTTGATGACGTTTTTATAAGTAAAAAAGAAATCTTGTACACAGAAATGTACAACTGCCAACTAAAAAAGTTCTTTCAATGGGAGGAATTGCAGATTGGTCAGAGTATTATATAATTTCAACAAAAATATGTATGAAACTTATCTAAATATACTTTACATAAAATAATTGCAGCTAATACTTTCTTGTATAAAGTTAAACTAAGAGATTCAAAGCTTTGTACGTTTTGTAACATTTTTGATGAAACTATGGAGCATTTGTTCTAAATATAAAAACCGGTGGAAATCGAATGACCTGCAAACGGACCAATACCGGATGTTTTGACAAGTTAAACATCTCTTACCATGCATGCATACAGGGATGGACACGATTACTGACAAATGTAATCGATTAATAATCAATTATTTGTAGGATTTTTGTGTAATCCATTAATAAATTAATTCTAAATTGTTTGAATAACCTCCCTAATTATAGGTTAATAAACTGCCAATGGAGTAAAATTTATAACCTGGGGCAATATTTAGTAAATATCTCACTTAATTAGACATAATTAAAATCAAAACGAAGTCGATCTGCATCTTATTGATTAGAAGTCTTTGATCATCTTCATATGTAATTAGTAAAGACACGAATTTTGTTGAGAAATTTTTATTATCTTTTCAAAATTATAAACAATATATATTTTTAGT